ACACACACACACACACACACACACACACACACACACACACACACACACACACACAGTTTTAGAGATAACACTTTTAGAGATAACAGATTGGAGGGCTAGACTATTGACATTACTGGCAAAGACTAATTCTCCTTCTCTCGGTAGTCATTAATTGTCTATAGGTCTTTATCTAGAGTGGAGACTTGAGGTTTTCCCCATCCTTGTCACTATGTCAACTAGTGCTGTCATTATGCAGCTCTTCTTTAGGAAACCATATTGTTACGATTGTTGTGGATACAGCCAGCTTGTATACAATAAAAGACACAATCTTCCAAGAGATGCTCTAGTACTCTGGCACTTGCTATCTTTCTGCTCCTCCTTCCATCTCATTCCTTGAACTTTAAGAGTAGGGGCTGTGTTGTAGATATAACAACTGAGGTTGAGGATGCCAACCAACTGATTTCTGTATTTTGACTAATTGCAGATTTCTGTAATGATCTCTAGGGGGGAAAAGCTTCTTTGATGAGGGGTAAGACTGACACTATCTTTAGGTGTAGGGATAAATATTTAGAAAGTAGATAGCATTTAGACTAGTTTGCCAGGGGCAGTAGTACATTCTCCTCTAGTCCCACTAGCCATAGGTAGCTGGCTAGCTTTACAGTATCAAGGCATGAGCTCCCTCATATCGAGTAGACATTAAGTCCAATTAGATAGCTACTGGTTACCACCCGTATATGCATGCCACTATGCACCTTAAGGGATAAGATGCCATGATGGTCACTGATGTGGTTCTGGGCTTCACAGCTAGGTAGGACTATTACTTTCTTCCCTTGGTAGGTTGCATATTACCATCCAGTACTATGAAAGGTAGTGTTCAAGCAGGAAGCTTCCAAATACCATTCAGCTTGAAACCTACAAGTCTTGAGTCTGAATTGTCTCCAGTAACACAGTTTTATCTTCAAATTCTGGGAGGCAATCAAAGACAATAACCTATATTGTTTTCAGTCTTTTGGATTCCCTTGGACAACAAATGGAAAGGGGATTTCTCATGTCTCTTACTGGGGATTTTTTAAGATAGCCAATGGCTCTTGGTTGTAAACACTATCACCCTATGTGGCATAATTTCATTTAAATAGTACATGTTTATATACAAATACACTTTTATGCAAAGATGAAACAGTATAATTCCTTAATTAAAGAAATGCTTAGTCTCTGTCTTTGTCTCTCTGTCTCTGTCTCTCTCATTATTGCCCTCTATCAAACCCCCAGTGAAAGCCCTCCCCCAATCTTCCAATTTCTCACTTGATGGTACCTACATCCTACTATTCACTTCCCTAAAGCTCTCAAAAATAGTTCCTTTTTGACTTTCCTAGTTTCTAAAGCTATGCAGATTATATACTCACATCCGAGAATTGTGAGCTAATAATCACAAACAATGGAGAACATTTGTCTTTCTGGAGCTGAGTTATTACACTTAGTACATAGTTCTATCCATTTTCCTGCAGATTTCATATTTCTCTGAGGCAGAATAATATTCCATTGTGTGTATGTACCATTTTCTCATTAGCCATTCATCACTGAAGGACATTTTAGTTGTTTTCATTTCCTAGCTGTTGTAAATAGAGCAGCAATGAACATGGCTAAGTGAGCACCTCTGGAATAAGATGTTAAGTCCTTTGGGCATATGCTAAGCAGTGCTATAGCTGGGTCACAAGTAATAATCTTTTAGCACTTATTTTTCTTCCTTTTCTGTGTTTTTTGTTTGTCTGTCTGTTTGTTTTTTATTTTGTTGGCTCAGGATTGCTTTAGCTGCCCAGGGACTTTTGTAGTGATTTTTCCATGTGAGCTTTAGGGTGATTTGTCTGTTTCTGTGAAATATATTGTGGGAGTTTTGATTGGGATTGCATGGCTTTTGGTAGAGAAGCATCTGCAAATTGCTTTTGGTAGAATGTATGTATGTATGTATGTATGTATGTATGTATGTATGTATGTATGTCTCTGTCTCTGTCTCTGTCTCTGTCTCTGTCTCTGTCTCTCTCTCTTTCTAAAAAAAAATTAGGAGGTCTGTCTATTTGCTCATGTCTTCCTCAGTTTCTTCAGGACATAATGTTTTAATTGTAGGTCTTTCACCTCCTTGGTTAAATTTGCTACTAGACTTTTTTTTTCTTTTTTAAGACTATTGGGAACAGGAGTATTTCCATGATCTCTTTCTCAGATATTTTTTGTTGATATATAGAAAGGGTACTTTGTAAGCTGATTTTGAATTATGTCACTTTGCTAAAACTGTTGATCATTTCCAGAACTTTCTGTTGGAATTTCTGAGATCATTCATATACATATAACACCCTCTGTAAACGGGAATAATTTTACTCATTTTTATCCCTTTAATTTTCTCCTCCTCTGTGACTGCTCTAGCAGCAGAGCAATTTTACTGAAAAGGGGTGGGGATAGTGAATAGCCCTATCTTGTTTCTGATTTTAATAGGGTTGCTTGGAAGTTTTTTCCCCCATTTTGTATAAATATTGACTGTGGGTTTGTCATGGACTGCCTTGATTATGTTGAGGTATATTCCCTCCGGTCTTACTCTCTCTAAAACTTTAATCATAAAGGCATGATAAACTTTGTCAAAAGTTTTTATTGAACTACTGAAATGATCACATGGGTTCTGTCTGTAAATTAATGTATATGATTATTGCATTTATTGACTTACATACAGCAAATCATCCTTGCATCTCCAGAATAAAGCCAACTTGATCGCAGCGGATGATCTTTTTGATACATACCTGTCTTCGGCTTGCAAATATTTTATTAAAAATTTTTTGCATCTGTGTTCATCAGGAATTCTGGCCTGTGAACTTAGGGTTTTGTTGCGTTTTACTTGGTCTTAATATTAGAATAATATTGGATTTGTAAAAGGAATGTAGAATCCCTTTCATTTATATTTGTTTGAATGATTTAAGAAGTATTAGTTGGAGATTTAGGAAAGTCTGATAGAATTCTGCTATTTGTTTAGACTTGGGCTTATTTTTTTAGGTGGAACTCTATCACTATTTCCGTAAAAGTAACGTATTCGCCTTATGTAACTGTCATCTCAGAGGCTTACTGCTGAATAAGTTTGCCCTTTCTAGCTCTTTCTGAACTCTGGCTGGCTGGTTCAACTCAGCTGTTCTAGCACAAACTCCTCTCCAAGCTGACTGATTCAACTTGACTTCTCCCAGCTTCTCACTGAACTGCCCTGCTTGGTCTCAGACTAACTCTGGCAACCTGTTCTAATCTTCTGGCTCCTTCTCATTCTCTGGCTCATTCTGTCTTCACCTGTGTCTAGGTTGTTCTCTCTGCAACCTGTCTTTGTAAAGTATCCCTGAAAAACTGTCTCTGGACTCGACAAACTTCCAAAACCTCCTCTCTTCTGCACTTTATCCAATAATCCAAACCTATACCTATAAAAGAAACTACTCCCAGAGGAAAAAACCTGACCACAGTCAGATCAGCAGGCACTATACTTACATGTAGTATGTAGGATAGAGTCCTTCAAAATACCAGCAATGCTTTTTGGCCTCTGTGCACTAGAAATAAAAGCAAAAACAAAACAAAAAAAAACTTTGTCAGTGGTTTGTTCACTACTGTGAAGGTCTCAGGAAGTTAACAAGGAAAGAGTGGCAATGGAGGAAATCACAAAAGCTAGCAGAGAAGCAAGCAGTAAGTAAGGAACAGGGAATTCCATCTCCTTCCTTTCTCATAGATGCTTTATTTCTTCAAAACATTTTTAAGGGGGGGGGGGACAGAAGCAACTATTTTCCTATGACTTTAAATACATTATGCACAAATATTTCCTTAAAAGGGTAGGCGAAAGACAATCCTTGGGTGGGGGTAGTTGCTAAGATCAAACATAGGGCCCTGTGTACACTAGGCAAGTGGTCTAGCCACTCAGCTACACTCAACCTCCATTTTAAAAATGTATGATACTTTAGTAAATAACGAATAATACAAAGCACTAGGAACTCTATTTCCCCAATACTCTTGTTTTTGACAGACATCTCCCGCATACTGTCACTATTTCTAGATCTTTACGTTTCACAATATCATGAAAGCCACACTCAAACTATTCACTCAGCAGCGGTGGACCCTAGACTGTTGGTCAGTGAAAGCAAGGTTTCCTCAGCAGCACATAAGAACTCCAGATCAAATGTTCTCTTAGATGCAAGAAAGGAGAGGGTTACCACCACTGTCTGCCTCAGTTCCTCCTCCTACCCAACTCCATCCCCTTGGGGTTAGGCTACCAAGTGGCACTGACACCATGTTCCCTGAGTTCTCCCTTGATGCTGTCTTTAGCCATTTCTCTCAGGCCATCTGCATTTCTCTGGGACTCCACAACATCCTTACAGGGATCCACATTTGGCTGGAACCCAGGTAGGCTGCCTGCCCATGCCTTCCTCCACCTCCCCACCTCCATTCTAATTTTTCTAGGGTACACCTAATCTGATAACTCATACACACCTCAGCACATCCCCCCGTCCATCTCCATTTCTTTGAGACTCACCACCATCTGTAGCCAGACCCAGGGCACCTTCAGTTCTCCCTCTGATGCCCTCCACAGAGCAAGACCCTGCATCCTACTCAAGAAACCTTCAGTCGGTGCCCTTTCTCCTGTCTTTAAGAGAGTGCTAAATCATTATTTGCCAGTATTATATGATTTGCTAATTGTGTTCTTTTCTATCAGACTGAGAAGAATTCTAAGTATCATGCTCTTTTTCTTCATATTAAAAAAATACTGCTTGATATTCACAGCCAATCATTGGACTGAGCCCGGGGATCCCAATGGAAGAACTAGGAGAAGGCCTGAAGGAGCTGAAGGGGATTGCAACCCCATAGGAAGAACAATATCAACTAACTGGATCACCCAGAGCTCCCAGGGACTAAACCACCAACCAAAGAGTAAACATGGAGGGACCCATGGCTCCAGATACATATGTTGCAGAGGATGGCCTTATCTGACATCAATGGGAGGGAAGGCCCCTGATCCTGTGAGGGCTTGATGCCCCAGCATAGGGGGATGCTAGAGGGGTAAGGCATGAGTGGGTTAGTGGGTGGAGGAGCACCCTCACAGAGGCAAAGGGGTGGGGGGAAAGGAGCAATGCGATAGGGGTTTTGTGGAGGAGAAACTGGGAAGAAGGATATCATTTGTAATGTAAATGAATAAAATGATTAATAAAAATAAAAATTAAAAAAATCTGCTTGTAAGAAGCTTTATCCTCTAACCTTTAAGAATATTGAAGAAGTGCTGCTGAAAAAAAGTGCCCTTAAAACCAAGACTGCATAGTAATAGTCACTTAGGGAATTGATGGAAGCTGTTTCCCATCCCTAATTGTACTGCAGAGACCTTGATGGCTTCTTACAAGCAATATTCCTAAAGTCATCCACTCTCTTAAAGACTTTGGGAAGATGCATACCATAAGACACAAGTTAGTGCTAGCTACTTATCCCTAGGGGGAAATCTGTGAGCATTCATAGTGTTTCTCTGCCTGGCTTTAACTAAAGGGATGCATGGCAACAAACGTGACAAAGGACCTGAACTCAACTACATTAAAAATCCTTATCTCCCGCAGATAAAATTATTCCACACCAAAATTAAAAGTCAAACAAGAGTAAGCATCTATACAATACAGAAAGAATCATTAAACAATTGAAAGGCTGGCAGAAGAAAAGACACGAGGAAATGAGCAACTTCTACAATAGAGCAGGTTCATTAAAAACCTAGGGAAGGAAGGGCTCCAGATCTAGAAAGAAAGCAAACATAGCCTTCTTGCAGACTACAGATAGTTGTTGGAAGGGAGAAGGGCTATAAACCAAAAGGCTTCCTTTTCTGGTCCAAGAACGGCCACTGCCAGGAATAACCAAACATTAGTGTACAGGTGAGAAGTAACCCACATGTGTGCCTTACAGCCAGTCATTATCAGGGGTCTGCACAGGCACTGAACAAATCCAAGAAAACAAATGATCTTCATCGTGCAATGCTGGTTACTATGATGTGGGGAAAGTACCAACATACAGTAAATGTTCAAAGTGATTTGGCCATAATTAACAACAATAAAAAACTTACATAATTCCTTAAGAAAAGATAAGATTTTTAATTAAAAGAATATAAGAGAAAGTCCTATGTCCCCTTCTGAAAGAACATGAAGAGAAAGACAGGATGCATAATGCTGCTAGGAGAATAATGTGTCTGAAGACTGCACTTTTCCCACACACTTCAATAATTTTTAATTTTAAGATGCATGTCTTTATTTGTTTTGTAGTAGGATTGAACCTGTGCTAGGCATGTGCTCCACTTGCAAACTTCTACCCCAGCCTCCCCCATGTTTTATTTTGTTCTCATTCTAGGACAGGAGATTATTAAGTTGCCCACACAGGCCCTGAACAATCTCTGTGCCCCAGTCAGGCATTGAAATTGCTATCCTCCTGCCTCAGCCACTTAAGTATTTGGGATTAAAAGCCTAACACATATAATAAATGAGTTTAAATGGAATTAACCTATAATGGGGCAATGGTGTCTTTACTAGACATCACTTAAAGACTATCAAGTATAAAGCCCACTGACAGGAATGGGTTACATTGTTGGTGTTGTTGGTCATTGAGGTCCTATATTCTCCTAAACATTACAGGCTATTGCTACTACTCTTAGTTATCCTGCAGATTGTGATGGTAAGACCCGACTGTTGAAAACTCCATATAGAAGTCATAGAAGATGGAGAAATCAAGGCACAGACCTGGAGGCTTCATTCCTACTGGCTAGCATTCATAGTACTGGAAAGTGCTATCCATGCTACCATCAATAAAGGTCCAATAATAATCAGTATGGGAAGACATGACCACTGGTGAAACAGTGGGAGTAAACAATCATGTGACTGGATTTAAAGCTCACTCCAAATGATAAAATCCCGATCTGGCATCATTATCAGGTCAGAGAACCTGTGCCTAGACAGGTCATATGTGGTAAGGGAGAACCTATTATCCTTGCTCTGCTAAACAGACATAGTAATAAATAACTCCTAATGATTTACTGTTATGCCTATTGTGTCTTTCTCAATCCTCCTCTGAGGGTGACTAACACAGAGACCCACAATTGGCCAATGTACAGATAATAGGAGACTGAAAAGTGCTTGGTGCTAAATGAGACATCTTTATTCAGTGCCTCCTCCCAAGGCTCAGGAATCACTGTAGAAAAGGGAGGTAGAAAGATTATGAGAGGCAAGATGGATGATAGATAGATAGATAGATAGATAGATAGATAGATAGATAGATAGAAATAAAGAAATAAAAAAATAAAGAAATAAAGAAATAAAGAAAGAAGCAGGCAGATTTCTGAGTTCAAGGGCAGTCTGGTCTACAGAACAAGTTCCAGAACAGCTATGGCTATACAGAGAAAACCTGTCTCAAAAAACAAAACAAAGAGCCAGATGCAATGAAGTCCAAGAAAACAGTATTTTATAGACTCAATTGGGCAGTTGTAAAAATGAACTCACAAGAGAGAAGGCACAAATTATCACCTGTAGCTAAGGATCTACTGGCAACTAATAGCTTCTGAGAGAGGGAACATTATTCTTAAAGGTGAAGCCCCTGGTAGGTTGACTTGCTCCAGTGGAAGGCCACACATCTAAGAGTATATGGGCAACACAGTATTTGATGGGATTAAAAACTGGGTTCTCAAACTTAGGAAAGGATGGGATGAATCTGGAAGGATTTTGGGAAGGGGTGAATATGTTAAAACTCCATTGAATAAAATCATCAGAGAACTAATAACAATTTTGAAAAGCCACCGAGCATAATTCCAAAATAGAATTCAGAAATTTATAATTTAAGACATAAAATTTCATATTGTACTTTCAATATAATTTAGCTAACAAAATTATCAGATACTCAAAGGAAATAATAGTATGCATTATCTTTCTTCATATTGTGGGGGAATGAAATAACACAGGAATATTCTGCTAAGAAAGCCAACAAAATAGTATGCCTAGAATTACATACTTTTCTTACACATTTAAAAAGGAAATAATATGAAAACTGTCAAGAAGACAACCAACTCTAACCTGAAATGGGATATGAAATAGTTTATTCTGGAGTCAAATATGAGTAACCATGGTCTAGGAACGCAGATTCAGATTATCACAAATTGCAAGTTTCAATGCAGTAAAAGGTTTGTTCATAAAGTTTTCATAAACACAAAGGAGTCATAAACCAAGACACCTTTTAAAAAATGCTTATACAAATGTTAGATAAAGAAAAGTAGAAAATCTCAACTACTGAACTCAGATGCTATTTTACTGTATTTTTTCACCTGTTGGTTGCTGGAAGCTGGTGGTCCTGTAATTCATTTCAAGGGTTTTACCTGTCATGAGGCTGGTAGGTCAGACACAGAAGGGAATAAAGAATGGCTATGAAGGGTCCAATGATAGTCAGATAAACTGTGATTAGAGCATGGACCTGGCAGATCAAGTTATATGCAGTTCACTACCCTTGCAGAAGGCTCAGCAAAAGGTATGCCTTCTTTCCAGAAACACTGTTC